AACTCACTCAGGTCAAATGTAATTAAAGGACAGAGGAACTGAAAAATCATATATGGAATCCTCTTCATACACTTATCAAAGATTCTAGGGTGAGTTTCTAGTCCTGAGGACTTAAAAAAAAATTATAATATGGGCTTCCCTGGTGGCTCAGTGGTAAAGAATCTCCCTGCCAATGTAGGAGGCCCAGGTGTGATTCCTGGGTTGGGAAGATCCCCTGGAAAAACCAACTCTGGTATTCTTACCTGGGAAATCCCATGGATAGAGGAACCTGGTGGACTTCAGTCCATGGGGTCGCAAAGAGTCAGACATGACTTAGCAGCTAAGCATGCATGCATTGCTTAAATATAAACATGGTACCATGAACTCCTAGAGGAGCGTATAGGCAAAACATTCTGTGACTTGAATCATGTCAGTGTTTCTTAGGTCAGTCTCCTGAAGCAATAGAAATAAAAGCAAAAATAAACAAATGGAACCTGATCAAATGCATAAGCTTTTGCACAGCAAAGGAAACCACAGGCAAAATGAAAAAAACCTACGGACTAGAAGAAAATATTTGCAAATGATGTGGCCAACAAGGGCTGAATTTCCAAAATATATAAATAGCTTGTACAGCTCAACAACAATAACAAAAATAAACAACCCAATCTGAAAAAAAGGCAGAAGACCTAGACATTTCTCCAAAGAAGCCATACAGATGGCCAATAAGCACGTAAAAAGATGCTCAATATTACTAATCACTGGAGAAATGCAAATCAAAACTATACTAAGGTATCACCTCACACTGGTCAGAATGGCCATCCTCAAAAATTCTACAAATAACAAATGCTAGAGAGATTGTGGAGAAGAGGGAATAAATACTCCTACACAAGTGGTGGAATCTAAACTGGTGCAGCCACTATGGAAAACAGTGTGGAGATTCCTTAAAAGATAGGATTATGATATGATCCTGCAATCATACTCATGGGCATGTATCTGGAGAAAACTCTAATTTGAAAAGATATATGTGGCCCACTGTTCATAGCACAGTCCTATTTATAATAGCCAAGATATGGAGTCAACTAAATGTCCATTGACAGATGAATGGGTAAAGAATATATATATATATATATATATATATATATACACACACATATACACACACACACACATATATATAATACAATGGAATACTACTGAACCATGAAAAAGAGTGAAATAATGCCACTTGCAGCAGCGTGGATGGACCTAGAGATTATCACACTAAACTAGAATAAGTCAGAGAAAGAAAAATATATTAATATTATTTAAATGTGGAATCTAAAAAATGATAAAATGAACTTATTTACAAACCAGAAACAGACTCATGGACATAAAAAACAAACTCATGGTTAGCAAAGGGGAAAGGGGGATTAGCAGATACAAACTACCATATATAAAACAGGTGAACAGCAAGGTCCTACTGTATAGAACAGGGAGTTATATCCTGTAATAAACCACAGTGAACAGAATACAAAAAGGAGAATATGTATGTAACTGAATCACTTTGCTGTACACTGGAAAGCTAGCATGACATTATAAATCGACTATACTTCAATCAAAACAAACCCAGCACTACTGATTTTTCCTCTGATTCTTAATTCCGTTAGCACTCATGCTGTATCCCATCACTCAGTCCTCCAACTGTACTGAGCTTCCTGAAAGTCCTCTCCACTCACTGCCTCAAATGCCCACCTCCCATTCACCCTTCACTGTTGTCTTCCAAGTGTTGTCCATGGACCAGCAGCCCTGGCATTGCTTGAGAGCTTGTCAGAAACTCTGGCTTGTAGGCCTCACTCAAGACCCATTTCAGAATTCTCATTTTAACTAGATCCCTAAGTGATTTGTGGTACTTTTAAAGTCTAAGAAGGACTGCTAAAGCTACAGTCCTTTCTTATAGGCCTTCTAAGCACAAAGTCTGATGGTCACTTCTCACTCTATCATTTGACATGATTTTTTTTTTCTTCTTTTTGAGAATGATGACTATCAAGTTTTCATTAGAGCGCCAGAGTGTCATGGTTGAAATACCATGGTGTAAGTCACTGAATGACAATTCCTATCTGATGGAGAGTTTGTTTGGTTTCCCAAATATTTTTTTCTTTTTTTTATTTTTCTTTTTTATTTTTTTTCTTTGTTGAAAATAATTATTTATTTATTTACCTAGGTGCCAACCCTGTGGCTTAGACAGTAAAGAATCTATCTGTAATGTAGAGACCCAGGTTTGATCTCTGGGTCGGGAAGATCTCCTGAAGCTGTGAATGGCAACCCACTCCAGTATTCTTGCCTGGAAAATCCCATGGATAGAGGAGCCTGGCGGGTTATAGTCCATGGGGTTGCAATGAGTTGGACATGACTGAGAGACTAACTACACTTTCATTTATTTACTTATGCAGCAGCTCCAGGCCTTAGTTTCAGGTGGGATCTTTTAGGTGTGGCACGTAGGATTTTCAGTTGTGGCATGCAAATTCCTAGCTGCAGTATGTGGAATCCAGTTCCCTGACCAGGGATTGAACACTGCCCTTCCCACCCCTGCCACATTGGGAGCATGTAGTCTTGGCCACTGGACCATCAGGGAAGTCTCCATTAACGTTTNTGGAAAAGACCCTGATGCTGGGAAAGATTGAGGGCAGGAGGAGAAGGAGACGACAGAGGATGAGATGGTTGGATGGCATCACCGACTCAATGGACATGGGTTTGGGTGGACTCCAGGAGTTGGTTATGGACAGGGAAGCCTGACGTGCTGTGGTTCATGGGGTTGCATAGAGTCAGACATGACTGAGCAACTGAACTGAACTGAACTGTGTTATTTGTTTTTCTCTTTCTGGCTTAGTTCACTCTGTATAATAGTCTCTAGGTTCATCCACCTCAGTAGAACTCAAATGCATTCCTTTTTATGGCTGAATAATGTTCCATTGTATATATGTATCACAACTTCTTTATCCATTTATCTGTTGGTGGACTTCTAGGTTGCTTCCGTGTCATAGCTGTTTGCTGCCAGTGAGGGGACAGAGAGGGTGGGACTAATTGAGAGAGTAGCGTTGAAACATAAACATTACCATGTGTAAAATGGATGGCGAATGGTAGGTGGGAATTTGCTGTGTGATGCAAGGAGCTCAATCCTGGTGCTCTCTGACAACCTCGAGGGGTGGAATGGGGTGGGAAGTGGGAAGGCGGTTCAAGAGGGAGGGGATGGACATGTGTGTGCCTATGGCTGATTTATGTTGACATATGGCAGAAACCAACACAATATTACAAAGCAATTATCCTCCAATTAAAAATAAGTTAAGAAAACACAGATATTTTCAATTTATCTCCAGCCCCACTTTGTCTTTCTCCTACGGTATAAATCCACTGTTCTAGTTGACTTCTGGATAGCACTTCATTGGATGTTCCTTTGGAACCTTGAGATTGCTCTGTCCTAACTAACTTATTTTTTCCTGTACTCCAAAAGGCTGTTTCTCCTTTGGCTTCCTTACTTTGCTTAGTGACATCCCTGGGGGACTGTAGCACCATCGTTGACTGCTTCTTCCCTTCCTTCCTTGTCTGATTGGTCACTTGACTGATCTCCATCACTGTCATGTGTTCTGATGCTCTCCTTTACCACTTCATCTAGTTATTTAAGTCTCTTTCCTGAACCATTATAAGGGTCTCATCATTTTATCTCTAGCCACTGCCTACGCCTTCCTCTCTTGCCCTCTACTGTTGGCTTATTCTTTCTACATGATGTAATCATGCTTTTCCTCTGCATCAAACCACTCATTATCTCTGTACTGCTTTCAGAATGAAGTGTGATTTCTTTAGTGCAGACTTCAGGGTCCTCTGTGCTCAGATCCCAGTTACTTCTTTACTCTTCTCTCCAAGTGCCCTGTGCTTGGCTAAACTGAAGTACTCTTTACTCTCTTTGGCATTCCCCTACTAACTAAGGATGACTTTTGAAGTATGGAATGAAATTCTAATACAGATTATTACAAGAATGGATAGTGAACCAGCAATTGTTTATGAATAAGTCTGGGTTTATGCTCACAGATCAGGTCATACGATTTCCTTTTTTCTTTTCTGACTTTATGTCAATCATCATATATTTGAAGATGAGGAAGGCATTTAATACTGGATTTGTGCCAAACCGCTGTACCAAAAGGGGACACCCAAATAGAGCTCTGTTGGTTTGGAGGAATGTTTCTTGTTTTCCACAGAGCTTGATTTTATACCTGATTCTTGAGAAAAAATATTCAGGTAAAGTGAGTTAGGTAAAGATACAGAAAGTACATGTACCATAAATAGGAGACAGATCTAGGAAAGAGGGTTAAATCAGATAATATAATAAAAATATTAGGGGTTCATACCAGTTAGAATATGGGCAGATCAGAAGAGGTGAAATTTAAGATTCTATTTGCCTTTGGGTCTCCAAGTCAGCTGTTAGAGTGAAGTATCAGAGTAGAGGTGATGTGGGGGGAAAATTAAGTTTTGTTTGGCATCTTCAAATATCTGAATATGAGTGTTTAAGGAGCTCTTGAGATTATCTATTCAATGGCAGAAGCATATTATCTTGAAAAAGAAGGAAAACCGCACCGAGAATATTGTGTTCAGTTGTGGGCCCTAAACTTTAAGTTGGAAGTAGACAAATGGAAGTCTTTTTAGGGGAGTCACAGGCAAGGTTTTTGCGCCCGGGTGTGCTTGAGTGTGAAAAGCTCCCTGGGTCGTCTTTGAGGTCCCTTTTCAAGCCCAGCTCGACTCAGTTGCAGTCTCCGTGGTGGAGGGTAATTGCTGTCTTGTAGTTTCTCTGAAGGCATTTAGTTCAATGCTTTGCTTGTAAAAGTGAAAGCAGTGCAAGTGTTAGTTGCTTAGTCATGTCCGACTCTTTGCGACCCCATGGACTGTAGCCCACCAGGCTCCTCTTTCCATGGGATTCTCCAGGCAAGAATACTGGAGTGGGTTGCCATTCCCTTCTCCAGGGGATCTTCCCCACCCAGTGATCGAACCTGGGTCTTCTGCAACGTGGGCAGATTCTCTATGATCTGAGCCACCAGGGATGGTAGCATTTGTTAATAAATACTGGTGAGTAAATGTTACTAGTGTGATGTAAATTTTGCCTCCAGATCCAGAACATAACTTCCTTGAGGGCACATACCACATGTTATGTTTTGTATCACCCTCAGCATCTTGAACGAGATTAGATTTTTCAGCAGGTACGTGGTAAATACAGCCCAAGTTCACAAAGTTAAATATTGGGAGAAATCCCATCAAACACCTCATACTTAATCCCCCATCTCCCCTTTTCCTTTTATATAAAAACAAGGGGACAGTGTAGTCAGGGGAAGGAATACTGACCAGGTCAGAAACCCTGGTTTACAGGGCTGCCTCTTCCACTAATGAGCTCACTTCAGGCTCATGTACAGTCTCTGATGATGAGGGAGAAGTACGGTGGGAGGCGTCATGACTGCTGCAATTTAGGGTCGGGTGTCTGAATGACACAGCTGGGTTTCTCCCAGACTTTTGGTGTTGGTTATGGTAATGAAATGCTTTAGGATGACATAATTAAGATACTCAATCATGTGCAAGTTTAAATTCCTTTCAATTGGCCTGGGAGCAGCAGAAATTGTACAGTTTGCTTCCTGGGAGATTGTAGCCTAAGACCAATAACTCACTTGTGTCTATACAGCTGTTATTTGCTATTCACTGGCAGGTGTGACTAATTCCACCAGTGACACAACCCTTTGGATGAATGTGAGCTTTTAAAGCAACTTGTTCATGAGTATCTGTGAGAGAGCATTGTTGGAAGGGTGTTGGGCTCCTCTTTGTTGTTTCTGGTGGGGCTGAATCCACTTCTGAGAGTCTTGGATTAATGTTGGCCGTATTTCCTGAGGGCATGGCTACTCTTCACGGAGCCTCTCCTGGCATACACCCATGATTCTTCTAGTATGGTTTTTCTGCTCTCTAGTTCTCTGTACTGTAATAGCTCTCTGGACTGTGTAGAAATGTTTCTGAAGGCTCTAAAAGCACAATTTTGGAAGAGAGACAAGTGATGGTATTGGGGAAACAGATATGAAAACCCAGGGCTGAGTTTTGCATACCTCTGTGTTAGAAGAAAGCAGTAGATTTTTCTGGATAAAGGTGAAGTGGCTAAGAAAGCTTGTAAAAACAATCTGATATTGACTGTTCAATCTTATTTTTTTTTTTTAAACCAAGAATTTTTATCTTTTATTTAAGCATTTCTTGACCACAACTATTACAATGCTGAGTTTTTCACATTTCCAAAGTAATGCCTCATCCATCGCCATGTTATCTTATTCCAAATTACTAGGTAAGGTGGAACTTTTCCAGTTACACAAACAATAAAACTCTTACTCTTAGATCTCACCCATAGCATCAGTGTTTGAGCAATATAACTCAGAAGTGTGGATTACAAAGCTACTTAAATCTTTTATTAAAAGGAACAATATTTTTAAAATTTTCCAAGATATAGCATAGAACACAAAAACACAAATATGTTACAGACAGTATTGTCTGCAGCCCCACCCCAACCTTCTACTACTTAGAACGTGAACTTATTTTTAACAACAAAGTAAGGAATCTGCCTCAAACTCTTTTGGAGTGGGAGAAACTGCTGGCTAAGGCACTGGAGCGGGCCTTGGCCCAGGCAGCAATACGAGCCTTGGCTGAAGCTCTAGCTTGGGCTCTCTCTTCTTCATCTCTCAAAGCCTCCTCATACAAGGATGGGAAGGCAGTGGGGACCATATTATGGATCTTAGCCATAAACTCTAGCACTTTCATCTTGGTGGTTTCAGCATGGGCTCTAGAGCCCCACAGGAACTCATAGCATGGAGGATCACTATTGAACACCTGGCGGTACTCTAGGTACTTCTCCTGCACTAAATCTTTGGTAATGACCTTCTTAGGATCCCCAAAAATGAAGTGCTTCCTCCCCTTATATAACCCCATCACATTCAGGACTTCCCAGATTCGCTCCTCACTAGCACAATTGCCCTGCATGAAGATAACACCCAGAACAGCCATCAGCAGGCCTGTCTTGGGAATCTCGATCCGATCTCTCAGCCTTGCATCGCAGCTTGCTTCCATTTTGTCGACAAGGATGTAGATGTGCCGGTAGGGATCCACTTCCTTCAGGTCAAGGCCAAAGATCATCTCCATGTGCTCAGCAGCTCTCTGGAGGATCTCAAGGTAGTGATTCTTATACATCTGGATTACTTCTCTCAGCATTTCCACCTTGCTAATAGGCTCTTTCACGTTATACTTATACAGCAGGTAATACACCATTATAAGCACCTTCTCATCTATACAGCCTCTGTGGATGGACTCAGTGGATGAAGTACTTGTGGCTCTCTGAACACCCAGATTCTGGGGTTCAACTTGGGCCTGGCGGCGTCTCTCACGGGTACGAAGCTTGCTCTTCTGACCCCGAGGCATGATGACTTTCAACAAAGGCAGCAGGCAAGTGGGCAGGTGACTCAGTGACCGTAATCCCCAGCAGAGCCTGGAACTTCTCCCATGACTCTCTAACGAAGGCGGCTCAGCCTGTTCAATCTTAAAAGAGTTAAAAGTTGGAGTGGCTTTTTACCATTTAATTGTGTTTAGCTTTGTTCTTAAAAAAAAAAAAAAAGAACTTAAAAATCATGTTTCATTAATGTGCCAGCTTGGATTATTTTCCTTGTCAGTTTAGCAATCAACAGTAATAAAAACCCGGATATAAAATTTTCATACATTTACAGTAGCATGAAGACATTAAGTGAAAACCCTTTAAAACATTTTCCATTTTCATTTCACTTAGCAGGTACTACATATCAAGCTATTATTTACCCAGCTAAAATGAGCAGGAAAGTGATCCAAGTTGGTGAAGTGCCTCCAGACAACTTGCACAGTTGTTATTTTCTCTTTTTGATTATGCCCAGCTGAAGGGATTAGTTTTAGCACAAATCAAATCAAGGTGATATGAAAGTTTCTGGGGATTACCTGGAGACTGTTGAGATTAGCCGTGGAAAACCTTATTTTTGCCACCTGGATAGCCCATGTGTATGGAGATAGTTTTATTTTAAGGCATGGCCAGTGCTGTTCTCTAGGATAGTGAAGTGAAAGCAGCATGGATAATTCAAAGTAAGCAGATAATCCAAAAGAGTGTTCTATTTAACTTTGGAAAGAGCATGGTATATTTTTTTCTTTTTCTTTTCTAATTGAAGGATAATTGCTTTACAATATTGTGTTGGTTTCTGCCATATATCAACATGAATCAACCATGGGTATACATATGTACCCTCGCTCCTAAAACCTCCCTCCCAACTCCCACCCCATTCCATCTCTCTAGGTTGTCACAGAGCACCGGTTTGAGCCTCTTGAGTCATATAGAAAATTCACAGTTTACCAATCTATTTTATGTATGATAGTGTATATGTTTCTGTGCTACTCTCTCCATTTGTCCCACCTTCCCCTTCCCCACCATGTCCACAAGTCTACTCTCTGTGTCTCCATTGCTGCCCTGCAAATAGGTTCATCAGTACCATCTCTCTGTGCTGTGCTTAGCTGCTCATTTTGTCTGAATCTTTGCAACCCCATGGACTGTAGCCCACCAGGCTGCTCTGTCCATGGGCATTCTCCAGGCAAGAATACTGGAGTGCGTTGCCACGCCCTCCTGCAGGGGAGCTTCCCAACCCAGGGACTGAACCCAGGTCTCCCCCGTTGCAGACAAACTCTTTACTGTCTGAGCCACCAGGGAAGCCCATCTCACCAGATTCCACATGTATGTGTTAATATACGGTGTTTGTCGTTCTCTTTCTGACTTACTTCACTCTGTATAGTAGACGCTAGGTTCATCCACCTCAGTAGCACTGACTCAAAGGCATTCCTTTTTATGGCCAAATAATATTCCATTTTTTCATACTGTTCATGGGGTTCTCAAGGCAAGAATACTGAAGTGGTTTGCCATTCCCTTCTCCAGTGGACCACATTTTGTCAGAACTCTCCACCATAACCTGTCTGTCTTGGATGGCCCTACATGGCATGGCTCATAGTTTCATTGAGTTAGACAAGGCTGTGGTCCATTTCAAATCCTAAAAGATGCTGCTGTTAAAGTGCTGCACTCAATATGCCAGCAAATTTGGAAAACTCAGCAGTGGCCACAGGACTGGAAAAGGTCAGTTTTCACCCCAATCCCAAAGAAAGGCAAGCCAAAGAATGTTCAAACTATTGCAAAATTGCACTCATCTCACANATTGCACTCATCTCACACATTAGTAAAGTAATGCTCAAAATTTTCCAAGCCAAGCTTCAACAATACATGAACCGTGAACTACCAGTTGTTCAAGTTGGTTTTAGAAAAAGCAGGGGAACCAGAGATCAAATTGCCAACATCCGTTGGATCATCAAAAAACTGAGAATTCCAGTAAAACATCTACTTCTGCTTTATTGACTATGCCAAAGCCTTTGACTGTGTGGATCACAATACACTGTGGAAAATTCTGAAGGAGATGGGAATACCAGACCACCTGACCTGCCTCTTGAGAAACCTGTATGCAGGTTAGGAAGCAACAGTTAGAACTGGACATGGAACAACAAACTGGTTCCAAATAGGAAAAGGAGTATGTCAATGCTGTATATTGTCACCCTGCTTATTTAACTTATATCCAGAGTACCTCATGAGAAACGCCAGGCTGGATGAAGCACATGCTGGAATCAAGATTGCTGGGAGAAACATCCATAACCTCAGATATGCAGATGACACCAGCCTTATGGTAGAAAGTGAAGAAAAATAAAGGAGCCTCTTGATGAAAGTGAAAGAAGAGAAAAAGTTGGCTTAAAGCTCAACATTCAGAAAACAAAGATCATGGCATTAGTCTCATCACTGCATGGCAAGTAGATGGGGAAACAGTAGAAACAGTGGCAGACGTTTAGTGCTTAAGTAGGTAAATTACTTTGACTAGCACGTTCTGAAGAGAAAATATGTTTACTGATACCCACATTATACCAGGTATTGTGGTGGATGTGTTCATGCTTGTCATTTCATTTACATCTTACAGCTACTCTGGAAATTGGAGGACTTAAGTCATTGCTTTCAGTTCATATAACTTATGGTATTTTGTATTGGCTTTTTCTCATGATTCTTGTTTTCCTCCTTTAAGTCTCTAAGAGTGGACAGTACTTCCTAATCACATTGACACCACATTTGGCCATATGTCTTGATTAACAAAATGTGAGGTAAGTAACAATTGTCAACTATGAACAAAATGTTTAAGAGCATGCAAAAATTTCCCATATATAACTTCCTTATTTTTCAAAATCTACATAAAACAAATTCATAGATCACCCACAACGGACATACAATATGAGCTAGAAATAAGCCTCTTGTTGTGAGCCACTACAATTTTTAGGTTGTCTGTCCTGCACTATAACTTATACTCAGTCAATAAGTGATATTGCAAGTATCCTAATGTTTAGCTATTAATCAGAAGAAAAGAATATATATCTTGCTTTCAAAATGTATGGAAGCCATTAAAAATATAAGCTCACAAACATAAAAATAAAGAAAAATATTAGGAAATCCATTTGTTGTTATTTAGTGACTAAGTAGTATCTGACTCTTACAACACTCCAAAATCCTAAATGAAGGAAATAGTCCAGAATCATTAGAGGATTTCAGAGAAGATAGTGATTCTTAATTAATTTAAACTACTATTTCTCTCCCTGATGATATTGTTTCTTCTTCTTCACACCCTGAACTTATGATATTTTAGTTCATTCATTTATTTTAAAAATAAGCAAACTATCCTCTATTTATACTATAAATTTATAGTATATTTATTATGTGCATATATATATAGGATATACATCCTCTATTTATACTATACTATTAAAAAGCATAAATACTATACTTTTTAATAACTATATGCAGGCATCACTATATTAACATAAACATCATTATACAAGGCACAAGGATAAGAGATAAAACTGAATGACAAATACTGTATTTTCACTTATTATGAAATCTAAAAATCAAAACAAAGTAGAGAATACAACAGAAAAGAAACAGACTCACAGATGAAGAGAAGCTATTAGTGGTTTCCAGTGGGGAGAAGGAAGGTGGAATGGCAAAATAGGATTAAGGATTAGAGATACAAACTACTATGTATAAAATAAATAAGCTAGAAGATATATGTAGAGAAGGTATAGGAAATAGGGACCTTAATAGATTTGCTTGAAGAACAGAGGGGGGAAAAATTAGAATTTTAACAATAGTCGTTGAGATTCTTTACACCCCCAGTTTTAGCAATTTATGCACATTCAGGCTCACTTAGCTTAGCATATCTTGAAACTTGCATTCTAGTTATCTTAATAACTTTCACTCACCTAATCCACTCCAGTTGGTATGAAAATAATAATCATGTACAAATTTGTCATAGAACTAATAGGAAATGATAAGATAATAGTTCAGATCTATACAATGTTAAACTTCTGGATCAATCTTCGTGCATTTAGTACTGTTCAGCATCCATTTTAATTTGTCTTACATACAACAAAATTAAACATGAAAAGAATATTTGCAAAAATAGTTTCATCATACTAGTAATATAATTTTCTGAGAAAATTGGGACAAAAATTCTGCTTAGTCTGGGTATTGAGAAGCCAAAGTTCCATTAATTATTTGCTGACACTCCAGATTAAACGTATCATATATAGACTGCAGAGGGGGAACTGACAGGACTATTCTTCTTCAGTTACAGTTCTTTATTACCTTTCTCTAAAGATCAGGATCACTGTTTCTGTGTTATTAAAGACATTAATCTAAAAATACCTGAAATGACCCTAACAATTGACTTGCTAGTGTGATGGTTTGTTCAGCTGACTGATCATGTTAATTAGATTGGCGAACTAGAGAAAATATCCTTAGTTTTAATGTGATACTCTGAATATGAGAATTTGGAACTTCCAGACAATCTGCTATTAGGGAAGATGAGTCATCTTCAGAGTCAAAATAGTTAATGTAAAACTGAATAGATTACAGAATTAAATATTATTACCCACAGAGTTTTTCAAGGATCTAGATACTATGCCTAAGAAGACCTTAAAATGGAGTGTAATGTTATTTGAACACTTAGTGCAAAGATTTTGGACATATTTTATTAGAATGCTTTCTAGTCTGTGCTTTAGATTGGGGGAAAAAATAAGGGAAAGCTATAACATAATTATAAAATAAATTAGCTATTTTCCCCTTTTGATTGTAATGGCTGTTAAATTCTCTAAAATAAGAAAGAAACTGTGGTGGTGGTTTAGTCGCTAAGTTGTGTCTGACTCTTGCGATCCCATGGACTGTAGCCTGTCAGGCTCCTCTGTCAATGGGATTCTCCAGGTGAGAATACTGGAGTGGGTTGCCATTTCCTTCTCCAGAGGATCTTCCTGACCCAGAAATCAAACCAGGTCAGAAAGAGATTAGAGCATTTCTATTCCTGCATATTTTCAGTACATGGTAGTTTTAGGCCTCCAAGAGCTATTGGATTTAGAAAAAAAAAAGAAAAACCAGAAATTTAATTTAAATTGGAATGGCAAAATTAAAATATTGGTAAAGTTAGGTAAGTAACCTAGGGGAAGTCATGTAGCAGCAACTGGAGGTGGATGTAGCATTTATGAAGGATCAAAAGAAAGCAAAATCAATGGATTTTAAGAAGTCCCCCGATATATTTCCTAGCATTTGAAGACTCAAGCCTTCCAAATATGAATTTTTCACACATAAGTTGGTATAAAGATTTTTTAAAAGTCACCATCATTTCTGACCTAGATTGAAAAACTCCTCTAACAAGTCTTCTTGCTTCCATTTTGCTTCCAATGAAAGCATATTCTATCATTCAAAAGTCAGAGATCTCTTTATATTAAGATATCTTAATGTTATAAAGTAGCAACAAGATCCATGAGATTCCTCTGCTTGCCACTGTCACTTAGAATAAATGTAAATGCTTTATCAAATGTGTGCATGGTCTCTCTCTAAACTTGGCTCTTACTAACCTAGCACTTTATTTCTATGCTTTAAATATATTGGACTTGCAGGGATTCCTAAAGTTCTTTCAGTTCTTTCCATTTCATGAACTCTGCACATCCACCCTCTTACCCCATTCCTCATATCAGTATGACTCCTATTCTTCAAATGTCAATTTAAATATATTTTCTCTGATTCGCTATCACCAACCACCTAATCTTAAGTAGCCGCCACCTGCTATCTGCC